GAGAAAGAATAAACTAGTTTTATTTAAGAAAGGACTTGTATCGCTGAAGTTTCTTGGGAAGAATTTCTACAGGAAATTAACAAACGAACAGAGACGTAACAATGGTTTTGCTTAATACAGAGCTCTTCAGGCCAGCTGAGATACAACAAACACAGCAGTGGTTCGAACAATATTTATATAAGTCAATTTATACACCAACAATTGTTATGGTGTGTATGCCTTTTACAAACCAGCAAAGAATGATTACAAATTTAATTGTTAAGAGACATTAATATTAGGACTGTATCATTTTTAAACAATACTTTCTTAATGTAGTCCCTTAGGGATTTTCAAGAATTAGAAGAGTGTATTATAATAATAGTATTCCAACCAAACCTTATTTGTCATAGCCATACTCATATTTTTTATGTTTAAGGCAGTGTGTATACAGCATAAAATATGAATATGTTTTTTTCATTGTTTTATAAAGAATGGTACCTGGTTAATTCTACTCAATACTTTGTGATACTTTATTATAGAAATTAATAGTGTGGATTTTATGTTTTTCTCTTTTTTTTTTAGGTGCCATCTGTCACTGTGCCTTTGCAAGTCCAGAGTGCCAGCACTGTTTCAAATATTCCTCCCAATGGCCAGAGTGCTTTTTCTTCTTCAAAACTGCAGCATCAAGACTCCATAGCTCCACAACTTCAATTTTTGGAAAACAGTTTTGTCCAAGATAATGAATCATCTTGTCAAAATCAACAAACTTCTGTATCGGTCTCTTCTCCTCCATTTGATATTGGTAATTCAACTGCTGGTAGAACAGGAACAGATTTATCTCTTATGCTTGGCTCTACTGATGGTTCTAATCTTGAATCACATCTCCAAACACAGTTTTCTAACTTATCTCCTACTGTTGAGTCTTTTTATATCAGTCAACAACTTAATTCTACTCAGTCTCAACCAACATTAGGACTTTTTTCTCCTGCTTATAGCCACCACCAAACTGTCACACAGTCTGTACCAATGTTAGAACTCACACCTTCTACTTACAGCTCTGTTTGTACAATGCCAGTATTCAGCTCACCATCTTCTATTGAGAAAAACCATCAAACGTTGGTACCACCAGTCATGCAATCGTCCAGTGACAAGTGGACTGCAGCAACAGAAAAGCTCAACTTGCATTCTCAGTCTGTTAGCACCTTAGTACTCGACAAATTGTATAGTGATGCATATAGTCCAGAGAGAATGCAAGAGATCAGAACCACAACTGCCAATAAAAGTTGTGTACAACCGAGGCGACATTCTTTTGCTGGCACATGGCAGTCACAACAGAAAAGAGCTGGAACAAAAACCTTAGGAAAGATTACACAAAAAACTCCATTTGCTGTGCCAAAACCACCTGTAAGTAGTGTTAAAAGTTTACTCTTAATCAATTGAAAATTAAACTTGATGATAGAAATTTACTAATGCTCTTCTTTATAACTATGAGTATTATTGTTAGGGTGGTATTGTTGCTCTGATGTTCTTTCTCCTAGCTATATATAGAAGATTGTTAGGGTGGTATTTTTGTTTTCAAGTTCTTCCGCATAGCTGCATGCAAAGAATTGTGTGGTATTGCTGCTCTGATGGCCTTTGTGTAACAACCTGTAGAGGATTGTTAGTATTGTATTGTTGCTGTAAGGTTTTTCTTTATAGCTACATGTGAAATGTTGTTACTGTGGTATTGTCACTCTAATATTCCTACATGTAGAGGAGACAGAACACATTGGATTAGAATTTTTCTTCTCACCTACAGTAACTATCCAATTAGAAATGACAAATAGCTAAGTTGGCTAAGTCACTACATCAGTTATTTTTATTAGTTCTGGCCATAATGGTTTTTTTTATTAATCTATGTAAAAAGTAAAAGTGATCCATTGTACCTCAGCCTAGATGTAGGCTGAATCACTTGATGGAGCACAGCAAACTGGTAACTGATCCCAACAAATTTTTGTTAATAATGAACATTTTATTGTAATTACAGTATACACTGACATCACACTGAACATATTTTACAGGCTGCAACACAGTTATATCAAATGAAATGAATGATCAACTATTTGTACAGTTACAGTAATTTCAAAATACAAATACCCAGTTTACAAATTCCTCAACAACAAAAATCAGAAATGACACACTAGCTTCAAATTGCTATGAATTTGTATGATTAACTGCAGTTTTTATATTGCTCTGAACTTGTATGATTAACTCCAGTTTTTGCTTAGAATATTCAATGATGAGCACTTACAAAGAGCCTTCATGGTACTTTAGATTCCTTGATCAACTTGATCCACACTGCTCCGAGTTGCTTTGCACCAACTATGGCTACATAGTATAAGTATCTGTATCTTTCAAGTTAAATTTTTTTATAGATCTTAAACATGGCTATTAACCCTTTCGCGACAGGTTAGGTATAAAATACACTAGTTCGTATTCACATTTGCACATGTTAAGTATTTATACTATAACTTTTAATGCAGTATGAGTATCTTCACAAAATTTGGTAGACTTTGAGTAAATATTACAAGTGTTTTGTACACAAAAAATCAGATTTTTTAACAAAGTATTTAACTAAAGATTTGTTTTTTAATATATTGAGTCTGTTTCGTTACTAGTCCGAGTGCGAAGTGATTTTCATGTTATGATTAAAAAAACTATTCTTCATCCCATAAATCTCAAATATCATTTGTGTAGTCTCTAAAACCTCCTAAATACCTTTCAAACATTTGTTTTCAGTAAAACTTTATATTTTATCTGTTATTTTCTCTACCCTAACTCTATACGGACTATGTCAATTTGATGGACATTGTAACTACCATAAAAGATTAGGAAATAAATATAAATTATGCTTTTTTCATTCTAGAATGACTACAAGTTATAACACAAATGTTTAGTCTAAATAGCTTAAATCTCATAACATTATACATTTATATATATATTTATTATATTGACCTTCCAGCCATGCCTGGCTAACAGTACAGAAGCTGTAATGATGAGGCACACATGCGCTCATGTTATTGTATCCGAGAATATAAAACTGGCCTTTACAAAGTGACCTGTCTTGGGTGTGTTTTACTGGACTAATATTTTGTAAAATGCAGTCATAATACATTTATATATGTATATACATTATTATTATTAACAATTAAGTTCTTAAACTTATTTTTCTTAAAACATAGAACAGTAAATAAAGAAGTATAGAAAATAATTATTTCTTCTAGTTATGAACTTTCTACTAATTTGCTGCTAGCCATAGATGCTAGCAGCAAATTTCGCATTTGGAGGATGTAAAATGAAAAAATTTTTGTAGGTTTTATATATACATTTGAAATAACCAAAAATCATAAAATACTATATCAATACCATAGAATTCCACTATAATTTATTAAGCTTAGTAACTAAGATGTATTTGGGTCTAAAAAATATTTAATTTTGAGCTCACTAAAGTCTTACTTTAACACTTGGAATCCAGCATCAAAAGAACAAGTTTGATGCCTGAATATTTCGGCGAGGCTGAGAAAGCCACTAGGGGGATATTCTGAGCTTTCGATTGATTATTCACATGTCACAAACAAAAGTAGGTGTACGTAAGTGTTTCCAAAGATGGAAAGAGGTGGGCAGGGCCACTGTGTTTTATTCAGTAAATGTAGCAATATCTCAGAAAACAGAAAAGATAGGAGGTTTTTATTTTATATTCTAGCTTGTCAATATCGGTAATTTGAGTTTCTAATTCGTAAGAAACTATAAACTTTGTTTTTAGACATCACAAATATCTAGCTTGAACCAATGCTGCATTAAACATTCCACATGACACACAAAATTTGATATTTAGGTGTTTTTTTTAAATATTTACTTTTAAATTAAGACATAAACTAATGTATAATACTAAAATTTGAATTATAATCTACAATTTGATACTAAACTTATTGACATAAATTCATAAAATAGTAATTCAATAAAATTTGGAATGCAAGTCAACAAATGCAGTGACATGGCCTTTGACCCGTGTTGATAGAGTTAATTACATGATACACTGGTCTTGGTATCATCAATTTTTTATCTTACAATATCTCTGAAATATGAAAACTTTACTTTGGTGATGAAAAAAATGTTTACCCTCACATTTTCAAGACATTCTGCAATTTGTTGTTTTTGAACAGAGCAAGCGACGGACTTGCCCATTGATATGAACTGATGACATCATCACAGAATTATATTCAGTATATAGCTAAATATAGTCAGTGATTTGTTGTAACGCAGTTATTGTTGCACTGATACTGTTAGGATTGGTAATATGGTAATGTTGCTCAGTGTTTGTTTCTTGTAACTACAGGTATAAGACTGTTTTGTTGTATTGTTTCTCTAATATTGTTATTTTTAACTATCAGTATAGAATTATCTAATAATTTTCATTGTAACTGCATATCTAAGATTGTTATTGTTAATTTGATATTGTTGCTCTTATATTGTTATTTTTAAATACCTGTATTGTATTATCAGTGTTATTGTTACTGTATTGCTATTCTTGTAACTACATGTATAGGACTGTTAGTATGATACCGTTTCTTACATTAATATATATTAGGGATCATCTGGAAATTTCCTGAATACATGCATGATTCATGGTGTTTGGATATTTATCTTCACTTATCTAATCTTGGCTACTAGCCAGAGATGTGTTCTCTTTATATATGTGTGTGTTTGTGTGTAATTTTAGCAAGAACTTGATCTTTCATAATATCTTAGTATGCATACATGTATAGTGTTTCTTTCATTTAAGCCCTCAAAGGCACAACATTAAGTCTGTGGACTAAAATGCTAAAAAAAAGGTTTCAAACCTGTGGTGGGCACAGCACAGATAGCCCATTGTATAGCTTTTTGCTGAACTACAAAAAAGATCTTTAATTTGAGCAAAAACTAAATTTCTCTGTATTGCACATGTTTCTAACATACCTTTTAAATAAAGTCTTAGTCACTGATAAGTGTCAGACCATTTTATTATGAAATTATGAATGGATTTTAGAATCATTTTTTAAATTTAAGAGTTAATAACTTTTTATCAATTAATAATTTAAATGTACAAAACATTTTCCCACTCAGTGGCTCAACAGTAACCTTGAGGGCTTGTACTAAAATTTAGGTTTGGTCCCTGTTGTCGTCACAATTTAGATATCCTATTGTCCAGCAGTTTACTTAAACAGAATGAACATAGTTTATGCCTAACATTTTGTATTAAGTTGTATCATGATATTTTATGCTGTATAAATAAACATTCAAAAGTATAAGTGATATATTTATAATTTTTCAGCTGTGTTAAACCATTATGAAAAGCCATTAATTCATTAAAGCCAATGTCACAGTTGGAGTGAATGGGTTAATAAAACTTAAAAAATAAAACATAAATGTCTCTTAGTTTGTATATCTTCGAGTATTTAAAGACAAAATTAAGAACAAGAAAAATCTTACCTTTTGCTAATTTTAATGTTTAGTATTTTGTAAAAGTTTCATTTAGTTGTTTGTTGTCCCCCAGCAACTTTTGTAATTTTCAGCTAGTTTTATGTTAATTTAAAAAATAAAACAATTATTAAATTTTTTCAAAGCCCTTTGTAAAAATCTGAGAATTTCACATAAAGAAATAAAATGTATATAACTGCTTTAGAGCTATATTTTCTTTATGTTATGAAAAATAATGTATTGCCATGATGAAGCTTATGCATTTCTGAATATAAAGTTATAGAAAAATTGGAGATAAACTTCATGTAAGTTGTTTTTAGCAAAGTTTATCTTGTAGGTTCTTATTGAAATAAGTGAGTTAACTGCAAGGTGATTTTATTGCCTTAACATGTTAAGAAAAAAGATGAAGAGGAAGTTAATTTATAATAAATGCTGAGATAAGAATTTTTTCCTTGATTTTTAAATCTCATTTATTGTGATTTCAAGTAGCAAGAATGTAAGTGACTTTTTTTTTATAGGTAATTCATTTTACAAATTTACTACCTTTGTGAAACTTGGTCTAATTTTTTAAAATATTTTATAATTTTGAATGACACTAAATGTTACTTAATTTTCAATGATGTGTCCCCTGTTGGCCAAGTGTTAGTTCAGAAGGTTTATAATGCTAAAAGATACAGTGGGCGCAGCACAGATAGCCCATTATGTAGCCTTGGGCTTAGAAACAGACAAACTCGATATAATTAATTTTTTGTTTAATGTGTATATGTAACAATGTTAAATAAGTAATGCTTTTCTTTTAACATCAATTGTTAAAATGTGTTTCTTTCTCTTTTTATTGAAAAATATTCTTAACTTTAGAGTTAAAAATACATTTCTTTAGAAATTATTTTTATCAATTCAGTAGAAACACAGGTTGTACCTTTTCATGGTATTAGTACTTTTTTAAATAATTGTGCACCATTGTTTGGATCTTTTCAGAGTTCTATCAAATATGTTTTTAATTAAACTAATTCCTTCTGTTTATTGAAAATAGTAGACATGATTTATTTTTAAATATGCATTTGATTTGTTTTTGTTTTTTTTTCAGTCATATACTCGAGTGCTTTCCAAGTTTCTCCCTTCAACACCTGTCACCGTTAGTAATCCAGCCACAGCTGAAAAAAAAATTTCCACAAATAATATTGGAGTTTTTATACCAGGTACCATTAGCAGTACACGTCATACAGTCTCTCAAAATTTACTTTCATCATCAGCATCCCTTACCACAAAAGCTAACCCTGATCTTCTCCTCAGGAATAGTAGTGCCAAATTAAACTGTGGAGGTTCCATTTCATCAGAAACCATACCCAACTCAGGATCGAACAGTTCTTACCTAACAAAGCTGTTAAGCTCAGGTTTGAGAACAAGAAACTTATTTTATTGATGTTGCAATATTTCACATATGGATTCCCTTTGTTGATTTTGTTTTTGCTGGTGGTGTATTTTTTAAATCCTGCAGTGGTTATATAATGTCCTTCAGCTTCTTAATGAAAACTGTTACACCGATTTGTCTCAAACATACACATTGACTAGCCACTTTCTTAGGACCTGAGCCATAGATGCAAATTAAGTTGATCACATGATTTATCAGGCGATCATTGAAAGCTAAAGATATTGCAGTGTTCAAAAAGAGGCATGATGGTGGGTGTATGTAGAGCAGGTGCCATGGTGGTCAAGATGGTTTCACTGATAGGTTGCTCCAAGATGTTGGTCATTCAATTTATCAGCAATGACAAAGAGTAAATAAAATGTCTGCCAGTAGGGAGGAGAATTGTGACTCCAAACATGAAGTGACAGAAAAAGAAGAAAGGCAGTTAGACAAGATAGGAAAGTACAACAGTCATCAAATGGTAGACCAACTGACAGAGACATTCAGAGCAGGTTGATCTACACTAATCTACAGTCATACCTAGCAAAGAATGGACTATAGTAGTAGGAGACTATTGTGTAAGTCACTGATCTCAGTTGCTAATGAGAAAAAATGCCTTGTTGTGTAAGGAAGGTAGATATTTGACTAATGAGGACTGGCAAAATAAGTGATATAGTCCAACATGTCATGCTTTACTCTTTTTTTTTGCACAGGTGGAATGAGACAGATTTGCAGAAAGCCACATGAATCACTTGACCCTTCTTGTGTTGTTCCATCTATTCAGGCCCCTGGTGGTGGAGTTATGGTGTGGGACATATTTCCAGTACGATACCTTACCTCTTCTCACGTAACAGCTTTCCTCAATTTGTGCTGCTTTATGTTGCACAATTTTCGCTCACCACTATGTTTATATATGGTATAGCTATGTTGTAGCATGCAATAGGAGTGTGACACACTCTCCTATAGTAGCTGTCTCCCTCTATACTGCAGACCACAATCATCACCTCTCGATTTGGTACTTGTGTATATTGATGTTTTTTTTGTTGTTGTTTTTTTTTTTTGCCTTGTGAACTTTTCAGATTTAGGCATTTTTTCAGTGGAAGTATCTACAAAAACATTATTTCATAAATATTAAATGTCATTAAATTCCACTTTGTCTGGTGTGAAACAACATGCTAGCTTACCAAACTATGTTGGTGTTGCATTTGTCTTTATCTGTTGGGAGAGGTGATGGCTTTTGTGCAATGAGAGGTGAAGTCTTTCATGCAGCCTGAGATTTCATTTTTTCGTTGGATTTAAGGACCTTTGCCCTCCATTTGCAGTTAATTGTTGAGTACTGAGATTTCTACTAGAGCCTTAACCTTCGGTTTTTCTCTTCCTCCTCCAGTGTCTCCTGTTCCTATTATTTTACATCCTCCAAGAGATCTTGTTTCTTGCCAATGTTGGTCCTAATTACTATGATCGCTATTGGATTGGTTTCTCATCTTATTCCAGGTTTTTCTAACCATCCTTTCATGGTTCCCAGAGAATCTGTAGATAGGTGTCAAGTCTTACAACATTCCTGTCTCATTCAGTTTCTCATCTTCACTCGCTTTCCAATGGGGAATCTCTCACCCTACAGTGGTCTTTCATCCCAAGTCTTGGGATGACTGAGATGGACATCGTGGATGCTTCTTTTCTCATTTGGCTCTGTCCCTACAAGCCTCCTACAGCCACCCTCTTCTCCTCTTTTGGGAGGTGGTATATCTTGGGTTGGTTGATTCATCTTGAAGGTGTCTCATCTCACACACACTTCACTTCTCATTAATTTGAGTGTTTTTTCGATCATATGTCCGCAAGGCCAAACCTCCTACTCTTCTTTTGAGAGACATGGAGCGATTATATTCCTGTGCCATATCTTCTCTTTCCCTCACTATGCAGTAGGTTCTCTCTCTTTTGGGACTTGGGCTTTCATGGAATCCTGTATCCCCATGGGTCATGCTCATTTGCAACATCTACAATGGACTGCACATTCTCTGGACCCTTGATTGGGATTCTTTGACCTCAGACAATCTCCTTCCTTAATTAAAGACTTCACCTGGTGACTTGATAAACCTACTCCCATAGTGGGTATTGCTCTTTCTCTCATCCAGGTCCCCCTTCAATTTCTAGATACTTCCTTGATGAGATGGGGGATGTCTCGACTTTCGCATTAATTCAGATTTTTGGTACTATGACATATCATCCCTTCAAACCCATCTCTTAGAACTTTTGGTAGTACATCGAATATTTGATTTTTTTAGGATGGTTTGAAGACATCTGTTGATGATATTCTATACAGTCAACTCTAAAGTTATCTCCTCTATCAATCACCAGGGGGACACTGTCTCACTCCTCCTGTTCCCACATTATTGACCTCCTTTTCTGTGACCATTCTATACCAGTACATCTAATAGCTTCTTCTATTCCAGGTGCCCCTCTTGCCGTTGATCATTTCTCAAGGCCCATCAAGATACTACCTACGGATTGGTCACTTGTTCCTCTGATGTTCAAGTTGCTGTACTCTCATCTGGACACTCTTCTTCTCAATGTTTTTGCCACTCTTCTCAACTTCCTACTTCTCCCTTTTCTGATCCCCTGTTTCTCATCCCTCAGCTTTAGCTGGGGACCCATCCCTCTTGGACTGGTCCAACTTTATTCTCTATGTCTACCCTTCTACTCGTTGTCTTCCTCATGATTTCCCTCATATTATACACTCCATGTTGAGCCCTCCTGATAACTCCTTACTGGCTGGCTCAGCCATGGTTTCCTCTATTGCACCTTCTCCTCTTTTCCTCCCTACTCCTTCAACATCACTCCTCTCTTTCCCATCCATCAGTGTTATCATTCCAACTTCATATGTGGGTTTGATCCTTCTTTTTTGTTCAGTTCATTCTTCCTCCCTCAATGTCTATCCATGGCAATGGTGCATTTTTCACAGTTGGTCCATGTGTCATGTTCTTCTTCAATTTCCTTCCTTCTATCTCCCACTTTTTCCGAATTTTTTCATTGGCTGTTCAAACGAGGTTTCTCGCTTTCGACCATGACTGGTTACCGGGCAGTTCTACTTAATTCTTTCAGGTTTTCTTATTATCATCATGTATTCTCCTCTCCTGACTTTTCCATAATTTTTTGATAATTTTGCTACCTGCGTCCTCCTCATTATGTACTCCTTCCTAATTTAGACCTTAATACTGTTCTCCATGTCCTTACCTTCCTATCTTTGACACTTTAGTCTGTTGTTCCTTTTACCATCTTTCACTTAGGTCTTACTTCTTATTTTTTGCCTGTAGTCGTAGGAGATTTGATGTGTATGCCATTGTTGCTTCCCATGTTTTTTTCCTTCTGTTTCTCAATATTATTCTCATTCTGTTCCAACTTGGTTTTTCTGTCCTATCCATGTTGTTCGTTGTTTTTTGGCTCACTTAGCTCCTTTTCACGGTTCATGCTCTCATCTATTTATTCATTGGAATTCCTCATCTCTTCATGATGTTTCTCCTATTACTCTCAAAGTATGGCTACAGCACCTCATTCATTTAGCCTGTGCTTCATTGGATCTAGTTTCACATTGACTCTTTCAAGTTTCCTCACAAAATACAACACCTTCCTCTCTCTCTGGCTCTTCACTTCCATAATCTGTTGGAGGATTTCGTGCCAACTGACATGGGAACTACCCTACTTACTTTTGTTGCACATTTTCTTCATCTTCTGTTTGTCTCTTCTTCTTCTTCTGGATATCAACTTCTTCCTGTCACCATTCTATATACCCTTTATTGGTTCTGAATGGGTAAGTTGTCTTTTTATATATCTTACCTTTACAGTGGTCTGTTTCTACATCTCTGGATCCCAGTCAATGGCGAATAGTGCCTGTTTGGGTATACATACCTGTACGTCTGAGCCATACAACTTTACAGGTCTATAATGCTCACTGATGAAATGGTTTATTCCACAAGACTGCTTGAGGGTTTCTTGTGGTATCTTGCTTCATAAGTAAGGTCTGTACCAGACTGTACAAACTTGTGGACTATCATGATTGTTGCCCATCCCTCTGGTCCTAGTTGAATAAACTGGACCGGCCTGCTTTTCATGGTCACCCATAGCACTGTCTTATGGTTTTGAGTTCCTCCAGACTCCCTACCACGTAGTTCCCCCACTTATCCAGAGGAGTACGGGAGTACTTGCCACTTATTTCTAGCTATTGGTGTGGTGGACATCTTCCACTCAGTCGAGAATACGGTGGAGGTGTTTTGTCGGTTTAGATGGTGACTACTGTCTTCCTACCATTGACAGGAAGGCAAATTCCTGATGCCACCTGGTTTTGGACTGGAGGAATCCACCACATGCAGTTCACCCCTCCAACTGGCTTTCCCCATCCTACAGCTGCCTTAGTACAAGTTCCTGGATGGTCTGGTGTTTGATTGGTGCATGACCAGCCAACATAAGCCCTCACACATGTGGTTGGTAGTGACCCTCCCTCTACCGTAGACTGCATGAATAATTCCCGACACTGCCTGGTTTTGGGCTGGAATTGACCCACCACATTTGCATTCTCTCTTCCTACCATTGCCCAGATATTGGGTTCCTGGGTGGCCTGGTGTTGGTTGTGTACTGGATCTGCTTTTCTTTTTTGCTTCCTGAGCTTGAGGTAAAGACATTGGGATCCTCCTCCTACCACAGACTGGACAAAAAAATACCTGATGCCACCTGGTTTTGAACTGAAGTTAGCTCATTGATTATGGTCTGACATGTCCTAGCCACTCTACACAATCTGGCACATCCCATTACTGATTGGATTGGCATCTTTTCTGCCCAATTTTTCAACACATTATCTTTACAACAGGCAAAGAGTATGTCTGGAGTGCAGTTACCCATGAGTGTGACCCTATACATTAGGGTATCTCACTCCATAGGTTCTCTTCGAGCACTTTCTGAAGAGTACTCATCTAGGTAACTTTTGTGCCAGTCCTTCCACCTTGTCAGTGTGGGATTTTAGCTATTATGTGAGAGGAGGTAAGGTATTGTATTGGAGGTTAACATTTTCCTACACTGAAAATATATTTACGATAAACACTTATCTCTTTTCCTACCCATCCTTCCCACTTCCGGTGCATCTTTTTTTTGCCTAATCTCAAAATAAGGATTGTGCTCTACAGTATAGAGGGAGTGAGCTATGCTAGGATGGTATGTTGCACTCCTATTGGTGGAGGGTTGTTGCATCCTTCTGTGAATGCTACAACACAGCTATACCAAGTATAAACACATGGTGTTAGGTGAAAGCCTCAAGGTTAGTGGCGAGTGAAAATTGCACAGATAGAGAGCATCACAAATCAAGGAAAGCTGTTATGTAAGAGGAGGTAAGTATCTATTGGAAATAAATTTTTATTGAAGGAAAATATTAACTTTTCTGGTATACCCTGGATCCCTTTAGAAGACAATGAAATCCACAGGTTATTTCAGCATAATTTCAGATCAAGTGTATATCTAGTGGTGCTTTATGTGATGGGGACAGTTACTATTCACTATGCTGAAATTACACATGCATGGTTTGAGGAACAAGACAGAGACTTCAGGCATCTCCCATGGCAACCACAGTCCGTGGATCTCAATTCAATTGAACATCTGTGGGACGAACTTGAAAAAGACACATTTACCATCACAATCTTTAGCCTACCTTGCTTCATGAATTGCATACAGTATCAATGACTGAATAAGAAAAAAATCTCTATAGAGACCTTTCAGCACCTTGTGAATCCTGTGACACACCATGTCATGACTGTTATTCAGCACTATGTTATTAGGTATAGGTCTTAATAAAGTAGCCAGTTAGTGTATTTCTGCGAACTCAAGCTGTGTAATGCATGGTGATATAACTGATCTATCCTCTTCTGAGAATTCTCGTATTTCTTTAATAATCTTTTCTTGCACCTTATGAGTCAAAATGGCTTCAAACATTTTTCTCACATTTAAATAATTTTATCTTCTCAGTTAAGCTTATATAATAGATAGGCTTCAAATGATATAGGCTTTCTTAGGATAAATCAGCTAATCAATTAACCTGTTTTGCATATTTCCAAAAATATTATTTACCTTTTATTTTGTTTTGTTTTCACTTAGGGTAATTTTTCTGTACTTCCTAAAGCACTTTAGAAGAAATATGACTTAATCTTTTTGTCATATATATTTCATAACTTCAAAAAAATATCTGTTTAGGTGTTAGCAAGTTTTTGGTTGGAAACCAAATCCAGCCACAAAAAGTTATGAATGTGACCACTGTAAGTACAGTACCAACTATTGCAGTAATCACAACAGGATCTGGTTCAACTACAGCTACTCGACAAGCTTTTATTCTACCATCTGTTCCCTTAGCAACGGTAAAATATTTTTTGTATCTAATATCAAAAGGTAGTAATTTCTATCAGTTTTTTATTTGTAGATATGTGTGATGGGATAAATAATCAAAGGTTTTATTTGTCTCTCAGGAATCTTTAATTATAACTATTGATCTTGATATAAGTGTTATTTGTTTGCACAACATTTGCATTTGTAAAAGCATATGAGACCATCTTGTATTTCAGCTGAATTTAGTAGTTGGGTTTTATTCACTTTGAAGTGATATAGATTGAAAAATTATGAATATTTTCCTAAATTCTAGTCAAATTAACCAGCTAAGAACTGCATTTTTGAGGTACATCAGCTGTGATCAGTGCAGCTAGGCTGACAGAAAATGCTAAAAAAAGGCACATCAGCTTGATCAGTGCAGCTAGGCTGATAGAGAATGCTAACACAAAAGGTATGTCAGCTGTGATCAGTGCAGCTAGGCTGACAGAGGATGCTAAAAAAAGGCACATCAGCTTGATCAGTGCAGCGAGGCTGATAAAGAATGCTAACAGAAAGGTATGTCAGCTCTGAACAGTGTAGCTAGGCTGACAGAGAATGCTAAAAAAATTAGGTTTTTGTGTTTATACGAGGAAGACAACAGCTATGTGTAAACTTTGTTTATATGAGGGAGACAACAGCTATGTGTGAACTTTCTTTATTTGCACTCATTTGTGCTCTTCTTATTGATGTTATTATCATTAGTGGTAGATTTTATTTGGAGAACAAAAGACTAAACTAAAATACATAATAAGTTTTGCATGTTTTCCAGATTGATCACAATATCCCAAACATTACAGGTGACTTCTGTAAGTGACTTTCAACGTAACTTGCTGGTTGGAGCAGCTAGTCAAGCTTTAATTGGTCAGCCAGTTACAAGTAAACTACCACAGTCTTCTATTTACGTCAGCAGTAAGTTTAAAACTTCCTTCCAGATTATTGGTTTAACTTTAGTTCATAAAACCTTTCTCTTGTATTTTAAAGTGAGAATATTTGTCTAATAAAGTAACCATCGTTGTTAAAAGTTATTGTAAATAGAATCTAAAACAAAAATAGTTTTTATGTAGCAGTGTAGTTCATTCTGCATTTTATATAGTAAATAAAAGAAAATAACTTTTACAGCAATTCAGTGAGTCTTGAAGATTAATGGCAGTAGATTTTTAAATGGTTAACTAAACCTAAAGAAACAAAATATAAAAAGTATAAAATACAAAATGATGGCTGTAAAGCTGCTGTTAAGTTTGTTTTTCAGTGGAACTTTAAGCAGAGTAGAAATAGTAGGTTTGAGAATTTTAATGGACTGCAACTGCCTGTTGAAAGAAAAAGAGACTAGATAAACATGTCCAGATAAATCAGCCTTGGCTTAACATAACTGCAAAACAGGACATATAAACTGGGTTCAACATACAATTTTAGACAAAGCTTGCTGCTGGAAAGAAAAAAATAAATCAAAGAAGCTATCTACATCAAACTGCACCAGCTTGAACTCAATGGAGACAGTGGTTTGCACAACAGTAACCTGTGTACAACCACCCTTAACACACTACAGATACTAGAACAATATCATAGTCCCATTAAAAACACCTGCTAATCACCTCACCTGCTCAACCCACATGGTCCGAGCTTTATCTCATGGCCACACTTACCTTTATAAGACATTACGCAAATACCTACAGTAACTTGAAGAAGACCTTACTATAAAAGTCTCCTTTTCTTTCAATAGTTAGTTCTCAAACCTGCCACCAAGCTTTATTGTAAAAAATAATAATAATAATTAAGTTGATATGATTCATTAAAATATTGTGACTATTGCTAGTTGTTTTGGTTTTAAAATAAATATACATTACTCTTTCGGTGGTAAACGTATCAAATGGTTTATAATTTAATTGTGATATAGCAAAAAAAGAAACCTTCATAATCAACATGTGTTACATATTATCAGTAGTATGGATATGTAACATTCAAATGTGAATATTTATAGACTACAAAGTGTTTACTATTTTAAATTAAATAATGAAAATCACATGCAAGTAATTTCTTAAACATGCACGTATGTGTATATGTGTTTACTTCAATATGCTTGCACAGAATTTCAAGTCTTCAGGCTAAAGAACACAGTTATTGTGGCCTGACTGGAGGTCACAATTACATTATATCAAAATGATTTTTAGCCAAATCATACAAATAATATTAAAGATAATTTACAACATGTGTTCTCATCACAAGAAACAAACTACTCCATGTTTTTCATTGTGGATAAGAATAAACAAATGATATGCCATATGTTCTCATAATGGATAAAAATTAACTGTACAATTAAGTATGGGAATAAAATCATGTAACCTTAAGTATGTAAATAAAAACGTACAACATGCTACCTAAAGAATGGGAATAAAAACATATACAACATGGCATCTTAAGTATGGGAATAAAAGAGTGCAAGCTGCCATCTCACATGTGGTGATAAAAACTTTTACATGATATATAGATCACAAGAGAGGATAATAAAGTTTACATGCATTATGTTAATAATGGGGAAAATAAAACTGTTGAAACTGTAACATGTCAAATTACAAAATTACATGTTAATTGAACTGAAACGTACTTTCCAACAAGGTACCTTACCTTCTCATTCAGTGCTGCCCTCTATTTGCAACAAATATTTTCACACGCCACAAGCTGTTCATTCTCTCACACACCTCTCAATTCACACGTTTTAACTGATTCTCACATGCAAATTATCATGTGACAAACCTCCACTAATAGAAGTGCCCACACCCATGTGACTCCCTCTATACTATTCTACCTAACTATCACTTCTTGTTTGCCAGTGCTCATGTTGGGATGCTTAGTTTGTGATCTCTTGAAGTTTTTTTTATCTTTGTATCAATTTACTCTTATTGAGTTTACTATTTATTATCCAATAGCACTAATTTGTAACTTATTCCAAAATGGAAATAATTTATATTTCTACCAAGTTACAGTTTATCCCATGGGTAATTTTCTCGCTTTCATCTTACTCTCATGCCTATCCTATGGTGCTTGTTCACCATCCACCTCCTCTCCGAGGTGATCCACTGAGATCTGGAGGGTATTTTGGGGGATGTTTTTTGCACATGTAGCTCCTCTGTTGTTGGGATCTTTAGAGGAGAGATGTGGTATTGTCCCAAGCTCGTTTACCACCTACTTATCTTAGGGACTTACGCTTGGCCCCTTTTCTCCCTAGGTCAGTATTTGGAGATCTTCTGGCAACTTTGGAATCCAGAGTGGAATCAGTGAGATAACAATTGACTCTTTCCTCGTTGGTTGATCGTTTATCTTGCTCTGAGCCTCTACCATCCTGTTTCCATTTCCCATCCTAATCCTTCTCAGCCTTTACCTGTTCCTTCCTCCAGGAAAGTTTCCTCTCATTGTTTTATTCAACACAGAGTGTCACGTTGCCAACAGTATCAGTGACTACCCTGTGGGTTCTGGTCCTGTGGTGACTCGTGTATCCAAGTTTGTTCCTCTATGGCGGGAGTTCACCAAGGATCTGTGGGTTCTTCAGATTTTATCCGAGAGATTTGTCATCAACTTCCTCTCCCTTTCCCCCATTATCTCAGAAACTCATTTCCTTTCCATTGCCTTGGAATCCTAACACACGTTAGCGTCTGTCCGAGGCAGTACAGGATCTTCTTTCTCAGAATGCCATTGAATGAGTTGTTCACCCTTCTTTGGAGTTTTATTCCAGGCTGTTTGTGGTACCCAAGGAAAGAGGAGAGGGTAACCTATGATTGATCTGTACAGGTTCAGTAGATTTGACCGATCTTGCAACCACCATAAAAAATTGGGAAATAAATATAAATTTTGCCTCTTTCATTCTAGAATGTAGACAAATCATAATACAAAAACATAAATGTTTAGACTAAATAGCTTAAATCTCATAACATTATACATTTATATAT